GGGGGCGCCCGCGTCCCGCTGCGGCCCCGGGTCCGCCGGTTCCGTCAGTCGGTCCCGCCGCGTGCCCGTGCGTCCCTCCGTGCCCCGCTCCGGCTGCCTGTCAGGCTCCCACCGTCACGCAGGCCTCGCGCCTGGCCGTGTGTCAGTCAGTCAGTCTGTCCATGAGCCCGAAAGGGGCATCTGTCCGTCCGTCCAACCCCCTCTGTGCCAGTCAATCCGTCTGCCTGCCAGTCCGTGCGTCGGTCAGTGTGTCCTGTCAGCCCGACCCTCAGTCAGCCAGTTTGTCTATCACTCACTCCATCCATCAGTTTCTGCGTCCATCCATCAGCCCGTCCATCTATCAGTTCCTCTGTCCCTCAGGCCGTCTGTCCCCACCTCGGTCCCTGTGCAGTAAATCTTCCAGTTAATTTGCACAGTGCCCACAGAGGAGGTTGGTCTGTGAGGAAGAGGAGGAGGAGGAAGAGCAGTGCCACCATCACAGCCCCGCTGTGCCAGGCTGGGTGCAGCAGTTACGGCTGAAAGGGGCAGTTTTTCAGTGCTCCCACAGAGTGAATCCATTAAAATGCTCCCCAAAGCTGCTGAGCTTCGCTCCAAGAGTGCGATTGAGGGTTCAGCCCCTGGCACCTTCCAGTGACTCCTGCCTTCCCCCAGGACCTCTTGACAGGTCCCTTTGCCTTTCTAGGCCTCAGCTACCTCAATGATAAAATGAATAATTGGACTCTGGAGAGCTTTAGTAGAAATGTCAGTGTCAGATTTTGCTGATTTAGCTGTAATTATATTATTTCTCATGCTTTCAGTGACTCCCTAAAAGGACTATTTGCATTTTGATGGTGTTCAGAAAGGAGGGTGGGAAAGGATATTGCAACAAAAATCCAAAAGAAAAGACGCTGCAACAAAAATGTAGCAAAACTGGGAGTAAGGACCAGGGCTGGAGTGGCTGAGCAAACACTCTGAAGTGGTGCTCAGAACAGACACAGGTAAAAACAATAATGATAAGTTGAGCAATGCTGCGAATAGTGCCCTTACCTACAAAAAGTAAAACAAAAGCAAATATATGCAATGCGTATAAAATTCTTACATTATCTTTTATCCACATATGTAATTCTGAGCTCTGATCCTATGAGTGCATATGTGCATTACTGTGCATGTGAAGTGCAGGAAAAATGAGGCACATGCTCTTTGAGCCAAGTTGGGGCTTGCTATATGTTTATGTAATGTCTGGTAAGAAAAGATTTCTCATTGTTTTCTATCTATCTGTATATATAACCAAATGACTAAGCATTTATTGAAATCTTGATTTATTAGCAGATAATAAGACAAGATTAAGAGCACTATTTAAAAGGAGTAACATTTTGTAAACTACATACTATAAAAGACAAGAATATTGTTTTGTTATCTTTCTGTAGTGTTATCCACTAGAGAAAGAAATATTTGAGAGTATTTAACTCAATGTGCTATATTCTCTTTTAGCAGGAAGTGATCATAGAATCATAGAATCTTTAAGGTTGGAAGGGACCTCTAGAGATCATCTAGTCCAACCCCCCTGCATACGCAGGGTCACTTAGAGCACGTGGCACAGGACTGCATCCAAGTGGGTTTTGAAGATCTCCAGAGAAGGAGACTCCACAACCTCTCTGGGCAGCCTGTTCCAGGGCTCTGTCACCCTCACTGTTAAAAATTTTTCCTTAAGTTCATGTGGAACTTTTGGTGCTTCAGTTTGTGGCCATTACCTCTAGTTCTGTCGGTGGCCACCACTGAAAAGAGGCCAGCACCATCCTCCTCACTGCCTCCCTTGAGGTACTTATATACACTGATTAGATCCCCTCTCAGCTTCTCTTCTCCAGGCTGAACAGGCCCAGCTCCCTCAGCCTCTCCTCATAGGGCAGATGTTCCAGGCCCCTGATCATCCTTGTGGCCCTGCGCTGGACTCTCTCCAGAAGCTCCACATCCCTCTTGTACTGTGGAGCCAGAACTGGACACAATAGTCCAGATGTGGCCTCACCAGGGCTGAGTAGAGGGGCAGGATCACCTCCCTCAACCTGCTGGAGACGCTCTTAGATTTTGGAAGAACTGATTCAGCTGGAGTGCCTGAAAAATTTGTATGCATTGGTCCTAGTTGATTCACTTTCCATGTATGATGCTTTTTGTTTATCTTTTTTTTTCTGCTTTGTGTTCTGTACCTTCCCAATCATTTACTGCAAATTTATAAGAAAAGAGTGGCTTAAATGGACAATATTCTGGTGAATTCTTGGCAAATAATGACATATCTGTAGAACTTTTTCTTTTAGCTTGAATACAGTTCCTAATAAAGTGAAGGAACTGGAGGATATATCAGGTCTCCAGTTGCATATGTGCATAGAAGGATCAGCTTCAGAGACCCTCCAGTCCTCTGAAAAGATACTTGCCTTGAATTTTCCAGTCTATAGATTACTCATATCTTGCTGAAATACAGGATTATATCTCCTTTTTCCTTTTCTTGTAAGGCCTAGAGTCCACTGAAGAGACTCTATCATAAGCTATTACAAGGTCAGTGTAGCTTGGCGTATCGTTTTATTACTATGTGTATGAGAAGATTGTCTTCTGTTTCAGAGTCTCCTTTGGCACTTGGATGTGAGTGATCCAGCACATGAGAAACTCCTATGCAGCAACATTGCTTCAGTGTAAATTAAACTCCAGTATTTCCAGAAGCTTTGCACTTCTAATTCTTTTTCAGCACATAACTGTTTTTTTTTTGCTTTTATTTTGAGATACATTAAGCAATCTGAGCTAGATTCTGTACATTTTAAATGTTTGGAGGATCAAACAAATGTTTAAAAGGACAAGAAGACATTTTAATTAGGTGTGTTAGTTCTAAATTCTTTGTTTTTATTTCTCTAGTTGCCTTCTTAATAATACGTTAAGTCTTAATAACACCTTAAGGTCATTAGCTGGGGTATATTGGGATATACGGGAGATGTACTATGGAAGATATAAGTTCTTGCCGTTGTTGTGGTTATTGTAGGCATTATAGTTTCAGCTTGGCATTTGCAATTACAATGAGGCAATAACTGTTAAACAGTGATTGCTTAACTTGCACAACACAAAGCAAAACTGTTTAGGAGTAAGCCTACTGAAAAGGAAAAGATAGCTTAATAAGTGCCTAGGTCACAGCTCAATGTCCTTTAATGCCAGGACAATGTATGAACTGCAATTGCTCTTATTTTTATACAGATTCTTTTTCTGTTAAAGCCTTTAAACCAGCTAAATAAGCTCACGTAACATTTCATCAGAGTGGAGAAATGCCCAGAAAATAGTTAACTGGTTTGTTGCATCACTGGGGAGTTGTATCAGTTACTGCTATGTCTTTAATTCCTACATAAAGAATCTGTTAGCTTGCCCTTTGAGATAAAATACAGAAAGCCCAGAAAGATAACTCATAACATTTATAATGCTTGTGCTATGGTTTTGACTGTGTCTCCATATCTTAACAGGGCCAACATGAATAGCAGCTGTCAGGGCCTGCTCCTTCAAAGCAGCTCTGAATCCTGCCTGAACAATATTTAATTGGGACAGCACCTGCTTGGTCTTGCCCATTATCCAACACTGTTCATCTAATACCTCTGTTTCTTCCAGTCGTCATCTCTGGTTTAACTTTTTGCATTTCTTTTGCTGTACAGCAGTACATGCAGTCACATTCTATGAAGTTACATAGTCATAGATAATAGACTAGACCATTTATTTTACAAGTGACCACTGTTTGTGTGAACTGATGTGTTTTGAAACAAATGAGATTGCATCCTGAGACCAAGAACACACTGGGGACATCTTAAAACAATAACTTCAAAGATGTGTAGCTTTATTTTTATTTTTTGTTTAACTCTCTGGGTTATTTTTTATAGGTACAGCCTTATACGACTACGCCTGTAAGGAGGTTTTGTAGTGCCTTATTACTGTAATAAATGTAGTTCTGATAGCTTTGCAGCTTTCTGTCTGTAGCTTTGCATGTCTCTGTCCCTTATTTAATTACTAAGCCTCTTGCGTGTAACGTTTAACAAGTTTGTAGACGTTTTGGTGTTGTGCAAGAGCCCTGCTCACGGCCCGGGATGCCCTGCACTGACACGGAGTCGCGGCGCTGCGGGATAGCTGGGATTGGCGGGGACCGCTGGACATGATGTGGCCACCCCGCAGCTCACCCAGGGGCAGCTAGAGGCTGCTCCGGGCTGTGTCCCGTTGGGTTGTCCTA